TAGAAACAAAAAATAACTTGACACCTATTCACATTAAACTTTGCAGCAAGTTAGGAATAGAGAGAGTAAATATGCTCAGCTAGGTAAGAGTGGCTCATGCCTGTAATCCCAGCACTTTGGGGGGCCGTGGAGGGAGGATCACTTGAGCCCAGGAGTTTGAGACCAGCCTGGGCAACAGAGGGAGGCCCCATCTCTACAAAATAAAAAAATTAGCCAGGCATAGTGGCCCCAGCTACTTGCGGGGTTGAAATGGGGGGATCGCCTGAGTCTGGGAGGTTGAAGCTGTGGTGAGCTATGATTGCACCAAGGTAAGTCGGCCTCTGTGACAGAGCAACCCTGTCTTAAAAAAAAAAAGTACAATGGTGAAGTGTTAGTAGCTTTCATTTTCTGATCAGGAATCAGACAGGGATGCCTAAAATCACTATTTCATCATTGTTATGCGATCCTAGCTGAACAAGAAATAAGAGATGCATTAAAACAAGAAATAAGAGATGCAAGAATCAGAAAAGGAGAAACCAGATTGTCATTGTTTTCAGATGATATGGTTGTACCTATAAAACACCAAAACATTTACAGACAAATTAAAAATTAATAAGGTAGCTTACCAACTTGCTAGATCAATAAACAAAAATTCAGCCGGGCGCGGTGGCTCAAGCCTGTAATCCCAGCACTTTGGGAGGCCGAGGCGGGTGGATCACAAGGTCAAGAGATCGAGACCATCCTGGTCAACATGGTGAAACCCCGTCTCTACTAAAACTACAAAAAATTAGCTGGGCATGGTGGAGCGTGCCTGTAATCCCAGCTACTCAGGAGGCTGAGGCAGGAGAATTGCCTGAACCCAGGAGACGGAGGTTGCGGTGAGCCGAGATCGCGCCATTGCACTCCAGCCTGGGTAACATGAGTGAAACTCCGTCTCAAAAAAAAAAAAAAAAAAAAAAAAAAATTCAATTGCTCAATTGCTTTTTGAACTCTGGGAAACAGAAAATGAACAAAAATTACCATTTTCTATGGTATCAAAAAAATAACAATACTAACAATACAGTGACCAAAAGTTGTACAAGAGACTTCTCTTGTGTCTTAGTGGAAATGTGAAAATGGAGGTAAAGAGGTGGAGTCCACGCGGGCTGTGCAGACCTGCCCAACTGTCCAGTGCATCTGAATGTCAGACTCACTAGTACTGGAGGGTGTCAGTTCAGGGGATTCCCTCAGGAATTCAGATCTAAGCCTCATGGAACTGGGAAGACCCAGAAAGTAGCGGGACACACCTGGCAGGCACCGAGCTTAAGAGGCTGCTTGTTCTAGGGGTTCAGGGTCCACAGCTACTCTCCATGCTCATATCCCTGGTGTCCTCTGGCCCTCAGTAGTTTTATTTGTCCACTGAGCTTTATCTAACTCCCCTCAGTGGCCTCCATGAACCCCATACTGTGTCCAGGCTGAGTCTCTGTACTCCCTGCAAGACTTTACTGAGCTTTAAAATAGCTTACAGTCTGCAAACGTTTCCTGTAAAAGGCAAGAGAGTGAATGTTTTAGGGGTTGCAAGCATTATGGTCTCCGTCACAACTATCGATTTTGACCTTATGGCACAGAAGCAGTCAAAGACGAGGGCTGTTTCAATAAAATTTCATTAAAATTGGCCAGGCACTGGCTCACGCCTGTAATCACAGCAATTTGGAAGGCTGAAGCAGGCAGATCACCTGAGCTCAGGAGCTGGAGACCAGCCTGGTCAACATGGTGAAACACCATCTCTACTAAAAATACAAAAATTAGTCAGGAGCGGTGGCAGGCACCTGTAATCCCAGCTACTTGGGGGGCTCAGACAGGAGAATCGCTTGAACTCGGGGGTGGAGGTTGCAGTGAGCTGAGATCGTGCCACCACACTCCAGCCTGGACGACAAGAGCCAGACTCCATCTCAAAAACAAAAACAAAAAACTTCATGAAAACAGAAACTCAAATTTCATATAGCTTTCCCATGTTAAAATAATATCTTTCCATTTTTTTGTTTCAACCATTATAAAGTGTAAAAACCACTCTTGGCCCACAGGGCATTCACAAACAAGCAGCAGGCCCACCAGCTGCAGGCCTTGAGTTGTTAATCCCTGCTTTAGCTGGCCACCCTTCAACAACAGAAGGCTGGGCTGGGCCTAGGAGGTTTCATGGAGGAATACCAGGGATCTTGGGAACATCAGTGGTCCCAAGTGCTGCTGGGAATAAGGCTTCAGAAGATAGAGTTTTATGCCTATCTTGTACAGCCTTCACTTCTCGCACCTTTGAGGTCAGAACATCTTACCAGTGGCATTTGCTGCCCTCTGTGACCTAACCCCTATCTGCAGGGCTACTTTCAACTCCTTGTGCTTCCCTTTTGGGTTCCTGAGCTACGGTTCCTCTAATGGGGCTCTGTGCCTTTCCATGCTTTTCACGTCATGGCCAAGCTAGCCATGGTCCTAAGACTGCTCCCTTCCCCAGGCTGAGCTGAGGGCCTCTGCTGCTTCTCCCATCCTCCTACGGTTCATACTTGGCCTGCTGCAGTCCCCCATGGGCTGAGGGCTCCCAGTCCTATGTATGAATCTCTGCATCCCCACGATCGCCACACAATGGAGATTAGTGAGTGTCAATGAGCGGAAAAGGATGGAGCTTCTGGACACAGGTAGGTAGTCTCCTGAAAGGCTTCCTGGAAGAGAAAGTGGAATTTCTTTTCTTTTTCTTTTTTTTTTTTTTGAGGCAGAGTCTCGCTCTGTGGTCCAGACTGGAGTGCAAGTGGCGCGATCTTGGCTCACTGCAACTTCTGCGTCCTGGGTTCAAGTGATTCTTCTGCCTAAGCCTCCCTAGTAGCTGGGACTACCAGTGTGCACCACCATTCCTGGCTAATTTTTGTATATTTAGTAGAGACGGGGTTTCACCCTATTGGCCAGGCTGGTCTTGAACTCCTGACCTCGTGGTCCGCCTGCCTCGGCCTCCCAAAGTGCTGGAATTATAGGCGTGAGCCACCTCAGTGGCATGGTCTTGGCTCACTGCAACCTCTGCCTCCTGGGTTCAAGCGATTTTCCTGCCTCAGCCTCCCACGTAGCTGGGGTTATAGGTGCCCACCACTACATCTAGCTAATTTTTGTATTTTTAGTTGAGACGAGGTTTCACCATGTTGGCCAGGCTGGTCTCAAACTCCTGACCTCAGGTGATCCACCCACCTCGCCCTCACAAAGTGCTGAGATCACAGGCATGAGGCACTGTGCCCAGCTGAGAAAGTGGAATTTACATGCTGGTATAAGATTTGAGATTTTCCAATTTAGAAAGTCTTCAGGAAGCCGCTGAGTCTTGACACTGAAAGGATCCAGCTCTGGAAGCCCAACCACAGGAGTGATTCCTGCTTTGGATTTAGGTCCTAAGAGTGAGATCACATCCCTGCTCCATTTGTGGAGCAGTAAGGGAGCTAGTGCAGCAAGGGCTCTGAGAAGAGGGACCCTGGGAGTCACTGAAGCCATTTTCCTGTTGATAGAATGTGCACACTGACTTTCATCTGCTCACAGGACAGTGAAATTTTGTGAATGCTCTGTAAACTGGCGAGCAGATTTTTAATGAGCTAGGCCCCTCTGCTTAGAAGGAGACGGGAGGCCGAGGCGGGTGGATCACAAGGTCAAGAGATCGAGACCATCCTGGTCAACATGGTGAAACCCCGTCTCTACTAAAAATACAAAAAAATGAGCTGGGCATGGTGGCGCGTGCCTGTAATCCCAGCTACTCAGGAGGCTGAGGCAGGAGAATTGCCTGAGCCCAGGAGGCGGAGGTTGCGGTGAGCCAAGATCGCGCCATTGCACTCCAGCCTAGGTAACAAGACCGAAACTCCGTCTCAAAAAAAAATAATAATAATAAATAAAAGAAGGAGACGGCATGTTAAGGGATCACACTCCCTCCAGTTTGTGGTTTTGGTCAGGAACAGAGCCTCCAACGCCCCTTCTTATAGACGTCTCCCAGCCATAGGCTTTTTGCAGACCATAAAGAAAGGGAGAAAGGATATAAAATCGGGGTGGTGATGGCGGGCACGGCGAAGTGGACAGTGGACGGGGACAATGAAGAGGAATGCATGGGACCGCCTTTGTTTTTTGGTATTCAAAGCTTGTTAAGGAATGTAGATGGGAAACAACAGGGCTGGTGGGTGGTCGTGGACAAAACCCTTCTCAGGCATCCCAGGGGTGGGCCAGGAAGGGGAGTAGATGGACGTCTACAAGGCACAGAGCAGGGAGTGGTTATTCTCTCCTGGAGGGGCTGTGGGTCCAGCAGGCTTTTGAATGAGACCTTGGAAAGGCAAGGGCAGCTTGCCATCTGGAAGGCAGGCAAAAGGGCTGAGCCAGGCCAGACATGGCGGTCCGCATCTCACTAGCCAGGGGCAAGGCCTAGCGGCTCTGACACCAAGGCTGAAGGGGCACAACTTGGCCAGCCGCTCTCTGGCCGGCGTCGTCACGCGGCCTCCAAGAGCTCTGGCTGCCCTGCAGTGGTTCCTAAAGACTCCCCACCTTCCCAAGTCCAAATAGCTGCAGGAGGGAAGTGGGCGGAAAAAAAGCAAACCAGGTTGAGAAAGGGCTTGACGTGCCTGCGTAGGGAGGGTGCATGTCCCCGTGTTCCGTGTACGTGGCGGCCGCAGGGCATAGAGGGGGTCCCTTCGGTAGCGACTCTGTTTCCAATCTCAGTCTGCAGAAGTGGACGCCCGCAGAGGCGCCCCAGGTGGCCGGGCGTTGTGTGATTGACTGGGGGAAGGAGTAGTAGGCCGATCCCTTCCCAACACTCCAACCCACCCCCGAGGATCGGGCTAGTACGTCAGACCGGTCAGAGCCGGACACTGGGCGGAGTCGCGGCAAAGACCCTGCTCCGGCCCGGCTGCAGCCGGAGAGGCGGAGCTTCGCGGGGAGGGGGCGGGCAGGGGCCGGACCGCCGAGACAGGCCTGGAAACTGCTGGAAAGGCCGCAGTGCCGCCGCTGCCGCCGCCGCGCCTTCCGCCGCGTGCCGGCAAAAAGTCCCCGCCAGACCCGGCCGGCGCCCTCTCTCAACGCTGACTTACCCACCGTCGCTAACCCTCCGCCCTTCCTATGCTCCTGGGAGAGTCGGATCTGGGGCTGCCCAAGGTTGGGTCCCGAATTCCAATTGTTTCTCCCGGGATGCGAAATGTGTGGGGCAGATTCTAGGAAGAAGATTGCGTCTGGGAGCGGCGGTCGGGTTGATTAGCCGCCTCCGCTCTTTTTAGGTGTTCCCCCCACTCCAGCCCCACCCTTAGGGTGTGGGGACGCCTGCCCTACAGGTTTTCAGGGAGGGCAGTGGGTTCCTCGCCCGTAGAGACACTGGTTTGTCAAATGAGCACTCCTCATCCTCACTCTGGATCGGGTCATGTCCTAGACGTGCAGATATGGGGGCTGTGGTCACAAGCAAACGTGTGAGTGGACCCGCTGCTAGGGTTCTTCCCCACCCTGTCCTTATTTCAGACCATGACGTCAAGGTGGGCTAGTCGCGGCAGGTGCGGGGTTGAAAAGCATACTCCTTTAAGGCGGAGGGATCCGGGGGAGGGCGGCTGTGCTGTGCTTCGCCTTATATAGGGCGACCTGGGGCGTGAAATAGCTCTCTCGAGTCACTCCGGCGCTGCTGCTGTGTGGCGTGCGTGTTGGACAGCCAGCCCAGCTTGCTTTCTAATACCTGTGAGCCTTTTCTTTTCAAGGTAAGGCCAAGGTCTCCGTCAGGCTTCTTTCCCTTTACTGTTCTTTGGTCTTGCTGGGTTTTTTTTTTCTGTTTTTAGGAAGCCCAGATGTCGGGGTGGGCTGTGGATAGCGCTCTGGATTTTTACAGGGTGAGGTTGGTAGTAGGTGAGGGCTCTTGAGCTTTGCTCAGTTTTCCCTTGTGTGCTTGGTCGGTGGGATTTTTTCTCGGCGGCTAGCGCCGTGGCGAGGTGGGCTGAGGGGCTGGGGGAGTGGGCGGCGGGCAGCTGCACGTGGTGGCCGCGCGGCCCAGGACGCTGCCATTCTTGCTTCTCCACTTCCGGACGCGGCTACAGGGTGCCGGAGGGGGAGGACCGCAGGGTGGCGGGGGTGCTCGCACGGGGTGACTCAGCATGGTCCTGCGGGACTGGCTTCACCATCTCTCTTAACGGCCGCGTCAAAAGCCTTCAGTGCTTTGTTTCTGTGAGGGTTCACGGTGAAGGAGAAGCGCTTTCGGCCTCCAGCTCCCATGTTTCCTCCTTCCAGATTTTTTTTGTAGTCCCCGTGGAGGAGGGGTGGGGAGGGGGCAGGCTCTGGAATATTCTTGGGCTCCTTCCTCCGCCCCTCCTTGAGAGCTGAGATTGTTCTGGAAGCTTTGGCGCCCCGCCCCGGTGCCCGGATGCTGGGGCGAAGGGAGGGTGCAGGGCGACGCCCCCTCCTCCCGTGGCCCCTGCCGACGCACGTCCAGCAGTGGCGAGGGTCGGCCAGGTGGCTATGGCCACTGTCTTTCTTGTGTTGGGTTTGGTGCTGTACTGTAATTCTGTGCTGTAAAGGGGTCGTGGTTGAGCTTTTGGTTTTTCGATTTTTTGGCTGGATTTAATTGCCCCTTAGGCTGGTGGCCTACGGATCTCAGATTATTTCTCTTTGCCGTGTGGGGCAGCAGTCCGGCCCCTTAGGCTGATTTTAGGAAGACACCTCAGGGGGACTGGTTTAAAGTTAGTGCCATTTTTATCTTAAACTAGTCACTTTGACCTCCCCCAAATAAAGAACCGTAGGTAGTGATTTTCACATTTAAATTTGCGTAAGGATTGCCAGGGATCTCGAGATACCTGGATTGGACCAGGATTATGAGTTTCTGCCATACTACCAGGTGACGCTGAGCCTGTTGGCCACCACTCTAAGTAGCTGGGTTCTGTGACATTTGGTTGAAGAACATTGTAGCTTATTTTCTTTTAACTTCTGAATTGATTTCCCACTCAGTGTGTAGCCTGAGATCTTTTAAGAGAATGCTTTTTCCATCTCTTGGGAAGGGATAGTAGTCAGCTTAAACCACCAGTCAACTCACGTTCTAAGGTCCTAACAACTGAGATGACCTTCAGGATTTTTATATATGGGGCCTTCATAGTCTTTTGTAATTAATTACTATTTTTATTTTAGATGCCTGAGGAAGTGCACCATGGAGAGGAGGAGGTGGAGACTTTCGCCTTTCAGGCAGAAATTGCCCAACTCATGTCTCTCATCATCAATACTTTCTATTCCAACAAGGAGATTTTCCTTCGAGAGTTGATCTCTAATGCTTCTGATGTAAGTGCTTTGGTTTTCACATTTGATATATTTAACATTCTGGAAGAAGGGAAAGGAGTAGTTTGGCCTTTGTTGGGGACTACTGTTGAAGGGGTAAACCTGCAACTATTCCAAAAAGATTTGTCTTACTCTGGCCATTTTGAAGTTGAAAGGGACTATGTCCAGGATAAGTGGGCTAATGTAACTAACTATGGTTCTAAAGCCTCAAGATAAGGGGCAATCAGATTGAGTCTGAGAGAAATACACCAAGATTTTCTTTGAAGAAGAAAACAAAAGTGGGCGCAGTGGCTCAGGCCTGTAATCCCACTATTTTGGGAGGTGGATCATGACCAGCCTGGAGTTCAAGACCAGCTTGGCCAACATGGTGAAACCCTGTCTTTAAAAATACAACAACAAAAAATTAGCTGGGCATGGTGGCAAGCACCTGTAATCCCAGCTACTGGGGAGGCTGAGGCAGGAGAATCACTTGAACCTGATCCCAGGAGGCAGAGGTTGCAGTAAGCTGAGATCGCGCCACTGCACTCCAGCCTGGGCAACAGGAGCCAAACTCTTGTCTCAAAAAAAAAAAAAAAAAAAAAAAAAAAAAAAAAAAAAAAAAAAAAAAAAAAAAAAAAAAAAAATATTGGTCAAGCTGTTGGCTCCACACCTGTAATGCCAAGGCATGAGAATCACTTGAGCCTAGGAGTTCGAGGGCAACATAACAAGACCTTGTTTCTGCAAAATATTAAATATTAGTTGGGCATGGTCACATGTGCCTGTAGTCCCAGCTACATGGGAGGATGGTTTGAGCCTGGGAGGTCAAGGCTACAGCGATCCTTAACATTGCACTGTAGCTTGGGCGACAGAGCCAGAGCCTGTCTTAAAGAGAAAGCAAAAGCAAATTCTTATTTGTATTTTCAGGCATTGGACAAGATTCGCTATGAGAGCCTGACAGACCCTTCCAAGTTGGACAGTGGTAAAGAGCTGAAAATTGACATCATCCCCAACCCTCAGGAACGTACCTTGACTTTGGTAGACACAGGAATTGGCATGACCAAAGCAGATCTCATAAATAATTTGGGAACCATTGCCAAGTCTGGTACTAAAGCATTCATGGAGGCTCTTCAGGTATGTGCAGTTTTGTAGGCACACACCATTCATATTTGTCAGTGTTCTTTGGTTTGTTGCTTTTTTAAAACTTGTGTTTGACTTTAAATAACTTGTTGGTAGGCTGGTGCAGACATCTCCATGATTGGGCAATTTGGTGTTGGCTTTTATTCTGCCTACCTGGTGGCAGAGAAAGTGGTTGTGATCACAAAGCACAACGATGATGAACAGTATGCCTGGGAGTCTTCTGCTGGAGGTTCCTTCACTGTGCGTGCTGACCATGGTAAGCTCTCCTGTTACAAGTTAGCTGGGCTGGAGTTTTCTGGGCTTGTGAAGTGGCAGAAATTTTTAGCATCCTGTTTGTAAAGCAGTTCAAATTATAGCAGTTCTGCTAATACATATTTTTTTTGACTTGAACCCTGTTACATGCCTTGTGATTGACTCTTCCCTAGGTGAGCCCATTGGCAGGGGTACCAAAGTGATCCTCCACCTTAAAGAAGATCAGACAGAGTACTTAGAAGAAAGGCGGGTCAAAGAAGTAGTGAAGAAGCACTCTCAGTTCATAGGCTATCCTATCACCCTTTATGTGAGTGTGGACTTTTAAACCTTTTACACTTAACATGCAGGGTGTTTCCTGTTCTGGAGTCATCATGGTCCCTGGCTTTTGCTTTCCCTGTTATGGTTAGTACTCAAGGCTAACTTCTGTTTTTGTTACTTAGTTGGAGAAGGAACGAGAGAAGGAAATTAGTGATGATGAGGCAGAGGAAGAGAAAGGTGAGAAAGAAGAGGAAGATAAAGATGATGAAGAAAAACCGAAGATTGAAGATGTGGGTTCAGATGAGGAGGATGATAGTGGTAAGGATAAGAAGAAGAAAACTAAGAAGATCAAAGAGAAATACATTGATCAGGAAGAACTAAACAAGACCAAGCCTATTTGGACTAGAAACCCTGATGACATCACTCAAGAGGAGTATGGAGAATTCTACAAAAGCCTCACCAATGACTGGGAAGACCACTTGGCAGTCAAGGTGAGAAGCCCTTGCACATTGGCTCAACATACAAATATGGAGAGGAGTGGGTAGGTGGTGTTTTGGCAGGTAATAGACACATGGAACTTGTCCACCTAATAACATGTTGACAGCCATGTGATTTCATTGATTACCCTGTCAGAGGGAGGAGCCATCCTTCCTAATGACCTCACTTTCTCTTCTGATGGTAATCTTGGTAATGTCTGTGGCAGCCTTACACATCCAGGGTTCTGATCGGAAGGGACTTTTTTTCTCTACACTGCTAGTGCACCTCTAGATCACTGAAGGCATTAAGGCTTGGTTTTCTGGAGAGCTGCCTGTTGTGTGTGCTCTGTCCTTCAGGCTTAGGATCATTGTTCCACTTTTAGATAATTTGTTGCAGCTAAAGGCACTCCTTGAAAATATACTACTACTTGCTTATGTTTGGATTCTTTCAGCACTTTTCTGTAGAAGGTCAGTTGGAATTCAGGGCATTGCTGTTCATTCCTCGTCGGGCTCCCTTTGACCTTTTTGAGAACAAGAAGAAAAAGAACAACATCAAACTCTATGTCCGTCGTGTATTCATCATGGACAGCTGTGATGAGTTGATACCAGAGTATCTCA